AACAACATAAATGAGTTTTTTTTTTCTTGCAAAAATTAAACAAAATAGAATGAAATAAAGTTTATGCCCTACAAATAAACATTGGGAAAAAGAAGGAGAAATAAAGTTATTTGTCAAGAGATTATAACATACCTTAACCACTGTTAACTCTTAACACTTAAGGAAACCAAGAACAATGGTCTTCTAAGCATGTAATACCAACTGCAAAAAGAACAAAGAATAAAAATAAATACTGATATTTTTTTAATCTGTATAAACATATATATATATATATACACATTATTTGCATATGTGCAAACATGAAGAGAAATATTTTCTTTCATGAAAAAAGCATCAAAAGTTTAAAAACTGAAGCCAATACTACAAAATCTAACCTCAAACCCACAACATTATGACCATACTTTGCAAGAATCAAACAAGAAAAAATAAAAAGGTTAATATTATGATTATAAGTTAACCAAAAAAGGAAAACTAAAAATACCTTGAAATTTCTTTTTGTTGAAAGCTGAATGTAAATGGAATTGTGAATGACAAGGTAGCAAAGTTGTTTTATATATATTGATTGACTGGTGAGAGTGTGTTTCATAACTGGAAAATAGGGCAAAAGCAATTATAACTCCTACAAGTATAAAAAGTACAAAAATGGCAATTTGAAATAGATTTTACCAATCTCAAGAAAATCCAATGGTAAGGAAGCCATCAGTTAGACCACTCACAATGTTTTGGGTTTCTTAAAAAAAAATTACATGCCATGTAGGAAATAGACCTAGTCTTTAAAAAAGTAATTCACAATACAATTAAAAGTGGACCTAGTCTAGCTTATGTGGCAATAAAAAAAAGAAACCTAGTCTTCATCATTTAATTTTTCTTTTAATAAATGAAATATATTAGAACATTTTTATTGGTTGTCATGTATGCTAGACCTAGTATTTTATTTTTGCATTGAATAGCTTTTGAGTTTTTTTTACTTGGGTTTGTCCATATCATTTAGGACTTAAGTCTATTTATATGCCACATATGTAAAATTGGACTCAAAGCATTGTTGATGCTCTTAAGAAATTAAATTTCAAGTTGTAATGATTTTATTTTACAGAACCATCAGTATAAACCAATCATGACTACCACTATAATTTTTTATTTGGTAAAATTGAAATGTCTAATGTGAATTTTTTAATGAATTCACCATATTGCTGACTATTCAGTTTCAAGTATGATAGGGGTGAATTTTGGGTGAATTGAGATGGGGTTGATATTTTCGATATTTGGTAAAAATTATAAAGAAAAAAAAAAGACGAAAATGAGTTGCCCCTTTGTATTCCAATTTCCAAGCAAAGAAGTTTAGGAAAAAAAACAATAAAAAAGAGGTATGACACGTGTCGCTATAATATGCAATATGTAGGTATTAAAAAATAATTTATTGTAGGCCAAAAATCTGTGTCCCTCTCGCCTCTCATTCTATGAACTAAACAAAATTTTTAGATAAAAGAATTAAAAAATAATAAAGGTGGACACTTGTCAAGATATAAAGCAAAATGGGAAGAATAAAAAAATATTTTTGCTACAGTGCCAAACTTCTTTTTGTAATATAAGAGACATTAGATATATATA